TAGTGTTGTGGTGTGTGTGTTTTGTGGGGTTAGTTTTTTTTTATGGGGTTTTCTTGGGGTTTTGTGCGCTGCCTTGGGGGGTTTTTGGTGTTTGTTTTTTTCCCCCCTTTGTGTCCCCCGTGTCATTTGAAACCGGGTGTCCCCCCCCCCCCCCCCCCGGAGTGGATTGTTCATTCCCTGTTCGGTATGTTCCCTGTTTCCTTTTAGCGTTGTTAGTAGAGGAGACTGGTTAGGAACGGTAAACATCTAAGTTGAAAACAATGGTCCTGTGGTTTATGTTGGAGGCTCCCTGACCGTACACAATCCTTTGTTTTCTGTTCACAAATTATGACTGAATAAATTAATGCCATGTTTCTATTGGTCAATAACGGAATGCTACTGAACGTTGTGCACGGTCAGGTCCAAAAAAGCTAACAAAAACCTATGACAAAGGGTTAACCTGCGTAGCAGGCGTCGAAAGGGGAAGGGGATAGGGAAAAAGGGAAAAGGAAGGGGGTAGGGGAGAGAGGGGAAGGGCTCCCTTCCCTTTCCCCTCCTTCGTGCTTTTCTCCCTCCCCCTCTCCCTCCCCTTTTTGCACCTGCCACGCAGGCTACAAAGGGTTTCCCAACCAGTCCTCTTTAATTGACTCTGTTTTGAGAGAGAGACCTGAAGGCCGGCTGACATTTGTCCTTTCACACCTCACTCTCTTGCATAATAAATTAATAAATCTTAATCCCTTGAGAATGTTATCTCACTTCTTATTGGTGGACATTAAATTGTCACATGATATGACTGAAATAAACAATAACGTACAAGACAACACCCAGGTATAAATTTTGTAAGAGACAGCTAATTGACAGCACTCTAACAGCAAAGGAAAGCCCAGATAAATTTGACGGTTCTCAGTTACAGTGTTCTCTAGGACCGATCAAGCATCTACCAAAGCAAAAATGGTGAGTCTGTAGTTAGATATATCTTATTCAGCACTCGATTCTTCCAGGAACGGAAATTACAAAGACCTTCACGCTGTTGGCGCGACATTGCAAAAGTGTCAGAGCTTCATTGTCTACCTACGAAATTTTTGTACTTTGCATCAGATCGCATGAGATAAATGCTTTGCATCGTCTTTTCGGCTTGGATACAAAACAGCTGAGTTAGTTGTTCGTTTGTTTAGATGAAAACAGCTCTAAGGTTTCGAACGATCTGTTTATTATTATGCGTAGACGCCGATAAATGAATATATTTTGCGTGATCAAAGCCGGGATCTAGCGCGCGACGGTACATACGATAGATTTTCTTTCGCGATGAGCGTCTCCTTTAGTTTTCCGCAAGGCAAATTCTTTTTAGCATGGCTAAAGTATTTTAAACTGCGAGCAGTCCCTCATTATGGTCACGCGAGCAAGGAAATTGAGCAAAGCGAGCGAAAGAAAAATTGCCCTGCTGAGCTTAGACCCGACTGACTCGTAGTCTTAAAGTATTCCATCGTACCTCATTTGTTGAAGAAGACGACAAAAGTATGTTACATTTTGAAATTAGAAAGCTGGCTTGTAATGAAAAATTGAATTCCATTTGTAACCTGTTATAACTGAATTAATTTAGCGGGTGTCCGGCCGGAGGCATATAATATTAAAGCATGGAAGCAATTTTCTGAATTTTTAAACCTGAACAGAATGCAGGGCAAATTTTCAAGGTATATTCGTTTGGGTGGCTCGGCGGTTCGGTAGTTCCGACTGAAGAGCCACCAAGTCTTGCATTGACTTATGCTTTATATGTACCTCGCTGGCTGTCTAACACTAATCTTTTTCGCTTTTTAAATACTTGTCATGACTAGTGAGCCACCGCGCCACAATCTTTTGCAAACGTTCATTGGAAATTCACTAGAACAAACATTTATTGTGTTGTCTCTTTACACAGTCTATCACCGTAACCGATTATGGGTAGTACAGAACCCCGATACAGTAAAAACCCGCGTATAAGAACCAAAAATTTAAGAACCTGTTGTGCTTAAATTTTCATTTTAAACCCACTTTTCATAGGAACCTATTTCGCACCTATTTAGCCTAAAATTATATATAGGTTCTTATTTGACAAAAATGAAGGCATGGTTGAAATGCAACACAGCATTTTATGGACGCTACATGAAAAACATGCTAGTATTTTGGAAAGATAAATTTATTGTATGGTTATCATCTAAACTGTATTCTAGATAATTATTTAATGCTGCAATAAATTCCATGTC